TTTATCATTTCTGACTTAAAGACTTAAAGATAGACCATCTTCCCTCCATCTCCCAAACATCTTCCATTATTATGTCACCTTTCCCAAATCCCAGATGAAGCTTAATTGAAGGTACATTCATAATATACAACGAAGCAGTTTTATAAATAGAAAGAAGGAAGATAATATACATCTGTCACTTTTGTTCAAAATCACCAGTTGAAATAAGCACAGGTGATTTATAAAAAACAAAACTCAAACACTTGTGTAGGATGAGCTCGCATGCGCAAGTGCAACAGACTTTTAATAGCATATTTATACAAAACACTGTCGTCATTTCGACATTATCTTTCCAAGTCTGCAAAAGAAAAATGACATTTCACATAACTACATACAAGGTTACCTGGGATGGAGTAGGAATGGATCTGTTGCACTTTAAACAGAAAAACTGAGAATAGCTTGAAAACCTCACAATTGTTTTATTCAGTGCAAAGAAATCATGCCTCAAGCTTAGCATGATTTTATCTAATTAACTGAAAAAACTACATGTACAAGCACTTGAGCTTTGATGATTACATGCCCTTTATTTAAAAAAAACCAAAGTTAGGTTCCAAGCAAAGAAACGTTTGTAACTACATGTATTAATAACACTGCCATATGTTAATTATGGTACAAGTAATAATAGCAAATCTTTGTGATTTGTTTGGATTACAAAAAGTCAAAGAGACACAAAAAGACAAGATACCAATGGGCCTTATGAAGAAGGGAAGAGTTAGAGCATGTACCCTCATAAATCAGTATATTTAAAGCTAAAACTTTGGGGGTGTTAAGTATTGGGGTAAATATTTTTTTTTTAATCTTAAACATTCTAAGCACCAATTTCCTAATGAAGGATTTATTTCTCAGTAAAATCCACCACAGTAAAGCATTTCAAATCGGTCTTATTAATATTATATTTACATTTCAGTTAATCCTCTATGCTGTAGCTTTAATTTAATCAAAATAAACTGTCAAGAGCTGAATTTATTTCTCGTTTTCTATAACAGTGTACCCATAGAATGACAAAGTGTAAACCTTTGAAGTAAAAGAAAACAGGTTACCTGTTCCTATCAGTTGCTCTTTTAACCAACATAAAACTCATCTCAGTAGCTGGTCCAGCATTCACGGACACACTTTTTGTCTGTGGTTGGTAGCTGTATTCAAACAAAAAATTGTGTTGTTAGTGTCACTTAACAAATATTTTGGAATAAGAAAGTTCATCAATACAAATATATAAATAAATTTTATCTCTCACTGTGCATTTGAAATGTTGAAGTATGACTGTATCTTTTATTACAAACCCGTTTGTATATCTAGTACCAATTGGTAAGTTATCTACTAGTCTATAGTGTTTAGTTTAGGTATATATTGTAAATGCATTATAACAACACAAATGCCTATAACTGAATTCTATTTAAAGAATTCTATTGAAAATCTCATTACCTGGTATCCGGTTAACAGAAGTAACTGTAAATTTTGTTTTGCTTTGAAATTTTCAATAACATTTTGTGTACCATTATTTTTGCAATACTTATAGTGATCAAAGAAAGCTTGACCTTGTTAACTGTATTGTGTAAATTAAAATTTCTTATGTTTGGTTAAGCTTGGGACAGTACATACCCTGCAGCTACAGCTGTTATCTTGTAAGTACCGGGTACCAGAAGTCGCCAGTAGTCCCCAAAGAAGGAGGAGGTGAGGTTATGCTTGATTCCTTCCACCATAATCACAGCATTTCTTAATCCATTCTTTGTCTCTGCATCCTGGACAAACCCTTTTACTCCTTTATGCACCTATTCAACAAATAAACATTAAAGAATGGCCATATTTCAAAACATCTGATCTATTCATTAGTAACAGTAAGGCTCATATGATACCATGCAGTTTTCAACTATTCTGTATTAACTTTGATTAAATACACTTTCTCTAAAAACACCTGTATTATGCATGTGCTGTGCACTAAATTCATCAGCACAACTCATGTTCATATACTTTGCAATATATCAGGAAATTATTATACCAACTGGCAAAAGAAATACAGACTACTGATTAGTTCAAAAACTATATTCTTTCTCTTTTGAGAGTTAATACTACGTAATCATTTTTCTAATTGTATTTTGATTCACAAAATATTTAGAGTTTGACACCATACTAAACATTGCTAAAAGAGATAGTTTAAGCGTGATGATAAAATGATTTCATTTCCAACCTGTTCCATGAAGGACAACAATGACTCTTTATTGTTGTACCATTCTTCTTTCAGATGGGATGCTTTAGGATATTTACAACAAGACAGCTCAATGGTAATCTCCATACAATTACTGTGGAGATAATTGTAGTCTTCCATTCCACCTACAGCAGCAAAAATATACAAGTATATCAATACATGTATTATAAACAAACAATATTTTTTTTCTAGAGTAACAGGAAACTTTTTTTTTTAAATACTGTAAATCAATATTTATTCGCGAGAACTTTACTTTCACGTAATTACGCGAGACAGTGTGCTCGAGAAAATTTAATTCTCGCGTATAATAGTATTCCTTAAGATTAAATACAGCAATAACCACAATTCGTGAAAATTTTGTCTCACTAATCAAGAGTCGATGACTATCTAGTGAAAAAAAGGTGTCACGAAAATTTAGTGATCTACAGTATTTTTGTGGAAATCCTCAAGTGTTAGGCTGCTAGCTGACAGGTTATGGGAATTTCTGTGTTTTTCTTCTCCTCTTCCCTTTTTTTGCCAGTAATTGAAAATAAAGAAATGTTTTCTATCATGTTTATCCCTACTTATTTAGGATTATATTCAGTTTGAAATTTTGCCACTTTTTACATAAATCTTTGTTGTAAATTTTCAACAACAGACTTAAAGGGGGGGGGGGGGGGGTGATAAAACATTTTCATTTAATTAGAAGGGATTACCAGAAAGCTTGTGGACTGAGTAAAATTAATGCTGCATATATTTCAACATAATGCTCAGAATATTATTATTTTATGTCAAAATAATTTGACATGCCATTATCAACATGTTTACAGCCATGTGTGTAATTTGATGACCTGCAATGTCACATTTAGTAGTATATAAATACCACTTTTCATGTTGCAAAGAATACATCTGTCCTCATAGAATCATGTATAGTATTCAAGGATATTTACATTTCTAATCACTGTGAAAACTAAATGTGCAACTGTTCATTGAGCTAATGCCAATATTTCTTGCATAATATACATGATATCATGAAATGTAATTAGCAAAACAAAACAAAAATTGCAAGTACCTGGGACATCATACCAATGTGCACCATTAGTAACACCATCTGGAAAGTTATCTCCACAGTGTCTCCCAGACTTCATTGTTTTATGGTTGTTAGCATAAACATGTGCAAGTTGTTTGAATACAGCATCATCTGGAGCCGCACTATACTCTCCACTCATCCTATGGTCAGCGGAATCATCAAAAGGATAACTAGCCACTACACTCCCCCCATGAAGATTTGCGGAAAGAACAAACTTTTGTCCTTCAATCCAATCTATCAATGCTTTGGTTTCTGGTTGTATTTCATGATTCTTTGGGTTTCCATCAAACTGATCAGGGAAATTTCTGTTAAGATCCACATTATTTTGATTTGCCCTCCCAACCTCTCCATCACATTGACCTTCAACTGCATTTTCAAAACCATCAGGATTCATGGTGGGCATGATATAAATGTTTGTATTTTTCACCAAAGCAGTGACTCTATCATCTTTTTCATAGTGTTCAAGGAGATATTGGATGAGATAAATGAGAATTTCCCTCCCTATCGCTTCGTTTCCGTGCATGTTGCCAACGTATTTGAACATAGGTTCACCAGGTTCCACTCCTTCTATGTTGTCTGTTATCTGAAGAGCAAGTAAGTCTCTGTTTTTCACACTTTTACCGATGGTATGAAGTCGAGATATTTTAGGGTATTTAGACGCCATGTCATGAAGAAACTTTGACAGTTCCTCATAATGATGATACTTAGAAAAGTCAATAGTTCCGTCAGTTCCCGAAGCTGTCAAATAATCAAAATGAATAAAAATAACGAAATAAAGAACAATGTGATACATTTTTCTATCCATTACACGTCTACAATCCCGCATATTGTCATTTTTTTAGTGAGGGTTAGACTAATTTCATCGAATTCTGGATGTTTCGGGACCGCGACGTTTCGGGACCCCGACGTTTCGGGACCTGACAACACGTTTCGGGACTTGGGTTAACACGTTTCGGGACTTGGGCTAACATGTTTCGGGACTTCTATATATTTTGTTAAGGAAATGAAATAAAACTTGTTAACTTTTGTTTTTATGTTTATATATGTATAATTTCTCAGTTTTATACACAATTTATCATTTAATTAAGAAGCACAGATTGGAATATTAGTTTGCATGCGGCATGGAGCACGCCTGCCGAGAAAATCAACCGCCCGCAATGTTGTCTCTACATTTCTTATTACAGCATTTGATATACATGATATATTACCTTTATAAAGTATTTGGTTCGCCAAATTTAATTCAAAAAATATATTATAGAATTAGACTATGTATTGATTTATTTATAGTGTTTGATACGAGAGTTTGCAGAATTAAAACCGGGAGACAGTCGTAACTGCTGTGCGAAGACCACGGACGTGTTTTTACTTCCAAGACTTTCTTTCTCTCCATTTTAATAACAATTTTAAGTGTTTGATTTCATATTTGTTTACAGAATTAACAAAGGCTCAAGCTAGCACATGTGCAGTAAAAACTTTACGTTTTACGGGTAGTTGTTATGTTTACTGTGTATACACAGACTACAAATCTCAATGAAACTTTTAATTATCGATCTTCGTATATACCCGACCAGTGCGTAACATTATGTGGTGTTACATAATTAGGTACATGACACACTGTTTAAATGATACTGTAAATAAATACTAAATATTATTTAATTTGCAAATATTAAATTTTTCATTTTACATGTA